TTAAATCCATAATCCAGGACACCTGGGTGCACATGCACAATTACATTAGACAATAACCAAGGAACACCTGGGCACATGTGCATATTTACATCAAATTATTGTAATAGAAATGTGAACATTGTGGGACATGGACCATGGTGATAAGGGCGAGAGTTATAAGAAGAAAGGTTTAAATTTAAGCATGGAGGCAGGAGTTTGCTGAACTGACGGGGGCCGGACAGAAGGGTCGTGTAGAGGGAGCAGCATGAGCAAGGCACAATGGCATGGAGTTGGACATCTCTGTGCTCCAAGCAGGTGGACAGAGCTCACACCAAGCATGTTACTACTCCAGGGCCTTTGCACTAGCTGTTCCCTTTCCCTGGGTCATCCTTCTCTCAGATAGGTGTCGGGTTGGCTCAATCTCTTCTTCCTTCAGATCTTTCCTTAAATGTCACCTCCTCAGAGAGGACTTCCTTGACCTCCCTTCAAAATGGCATCTTCCATTCCCTCTATCCCCTTACTCTGTTTATTTTTCTTTTTAGCACTTATTACTCTTGCACCATATTATATATTTGTTTCTCTGTTTATTTTCTATTTCCCCAACTTGAAGGTAAGATCCACGAAAACAACTGGATCCCCAGCTATATAGCTATATCCTGAGCACTCATAACAGTGTCTGGCACATGGTAGGTGCCCTATAAATATTTAATGAATGAATGAACAAACATTTTCCAGCACTGCAGTGGGGAGTCCCTCTGAGCTCTGAGTTGGTTCCAGTTGTCGAAGACAAAGTAATATAGAACATACAAATATATAGGTAAACACAATCAGATTCTTTTTTTTAATGGTTCGACTGTAACTTGATTGGTCAGATTCTTTTATGGCTACTTGATTGTCAGCTATTTCACTTGCTGCCTGTTATTTCTTTCCTTCAAAAAGGAAAACACTTTTGTGATTCCAAGTCCTTTCACTTTATTGTTTATTTCTTTTTTTACCGATACTTCTTTCTTTATTTAGCAAACATTTATTGAATCCCTGCTATGTGGAAGGCAGGTGCTGGGGATATGACAGAATATGAACGGCCCAATCCCTGTGTTCAGGAAAAAGAAAAAGAAAAAGAAGGAAAAAAAGAGAAAGAAACCCATCACAAACAAATACCAGAGAACCATTTTTTTCTGCTCTGACAATGCCTGAAATTCCACCTTAAGGCTTGGATTCCACACTTCACAGGCAGAAGTGCCCAGCTGTATCCACGTTGGTGAAACCACACTTTCTTGTGAGCACAATCATGCCAACAATTTACTGGACTTCTAAAAACGTGCAGTGTGCTGTTTCTAGCAGCTATGACAGATACAAGAGTAAAACTGCAGACCTTAAACTCTCCAGTGTGGGCATGTGTGTGTTTGGGGGCAGGGTTGGAATTAACACAAGTACATAAATAACTATGATGCAGGTGGATAGAGAGTGCTCAGGGCCAAAAGGGAGAGCCGGCTCCCGCACGGTGTGCTGGTAGGAGCAGAGGCTGGACACCGTACACAAGACTGGGTATCAAGGAGGGCTTCCTGAGGAGGTGGCATTTACATACAGCCATGGCTCTAAGTGGATGTAGGCTTCTACATCAGTAGAATGCTCTACAGAAGTTAGAGTCTGACGGCTGGTGGGTCAGCTCCGTTGCTTAGAGTACAGCCTTATAACTCCAAAGTTATGGGTTCGGATCCCCTGACCGGTCAGCCACTAAGAAAAAAAGTTAGATTCCAAGGAGCTCTAAAATGCAGACGTATGTCCTTCCTCTTTTACAGAGGTGGAAACTGAGGCCCAGGGAGGTTGAATAGGTTGTCTATATTCTCACAGCTTGCACGTGGAGGGCCAGGATTTGATCTCCGACTACTGTGACCGACTCCAAGTCCCGCACTACTGTCCCTCCCCGCCGATCGGCGGTCAGGGCCGGGCTGGGGCGGCCGAGGGAGGGGCGCAAAGCCCTGGAGGGGCGGGGTCGGCGGCCGTC